AAATACATAATAAACAAATGGTACACGTTCATGTCCACAGGAGGCTGCCAAGCAAGGCGGACCGAGAGGCAATTTGACGGGAGGACACGCCCAATTGATCCCGCGAAATAACACCGCCTCCTTCCAGCAGGAGGGCGTCTTAACTCCACGCCCATCTATTCCTTTCGTTGGTGGGCATGTGTATGTGTCTGTGTGTCGAGTAATTGGCCATCAATGCTGCTAAAGCTACCAACAAGACCAACCTTTTGCCAGTTAGGCTGATTCAGAAGCCGTCCGAAAATGATCGAGACGGATACGAGGGAGATATGGACAAACTTCGAGAAAATTTCATCAAATATTTTTTAGTTCCCAGTTTTGCGAAAACTCGTAAAAAAAAGATGACAGTCGTAGAAGCCCCGTTTCTCCTGTCGGGCTTGAGAAAACAGCCAACTAGATGCTTTGCTTTGTATGCAACTAAAATCAGGTGATATGTCCAAGTTTGGGCAAAACGCAATGACCAACTCAATTCGATGGAATTCGAAGGAAGATGGTCGAGCAGTCTCGATATAAAACAGCGTCCAGTACTGGGCTTTTCATCGTAATGCGCTCTAATAAGTGCCCGTATCTTCGTGGCGGAACTTTGTGTTTTTTCGAGTGTGGCCAGTCGGGACTGTGCTCCTACTCGGTCCTGCGGCGGCTAGCCTCACAGTTTGCCCATCCTAGCAACAAATAAGATGAAAGTGTCACGTCGAGAGGAAAAACAGAATTATCACTCCCATAAAAAGCAGTCGGCAGCGGGCTCGCCATGAGAACCGGTCGGACGAACCGAGTAAAGGCATGCTGATAACAATCTGGCCAAACGTGCCGGCTACCAGAACAGGACTGCGATGTCACCTCTGTAGTTAGTACTGGAAGGATCTGTGTCTTTCAGGCTACCTAGGCAACGATGCACAGCGCAATATGCATGCAGGCAACATGATTTGGTCGCCGAGGTTTTTGGGAGGGCAACTTGAAAGTCGGCAAAGTGAGTCCCAGAGTGAGTTGAATGGGACAAAGCCAGTGGGCACAAGTGCAGGCAAGCGGCTGTGTGCGGTTATGCGTTGCGGTGCGGGGACAACCTGGACCGAGTGGCGCTGACGACGGAGGGAGAAAAGCCGAAAAAAGCCGTGATGCTTGTGGCGGGCGGAGATCGACAAAAGATGGCGTAGGCAAGGCAGAGATGAGACGAACTGCGTGCGCTGGCGGAATCAGACATAACAAAATAGCTCCCCTTCCCCCGTGCTAACCCCACATTAGGCATTAGTACTGATAAAATACTGACCACACGAACATGTGCACTTTGCCATTGAGCTTCAGTTGAGCCTCGCTGTAGTAGACTAAGAGGTTAAGACGGGAAATCATTTCTACTCACAGACACACACTCCAATGTGCACGCACACCTGTGCACACAAGTAGATAGACCAAACAACTGAGCCAACATCGCCGACATTTCCTTACGATGGCTGGTATGCCAAACCATATGGCCTTCCGTCTGTAACCTATTCGTGTGCCAACCCATTTATCGGTATGTGGTCACAATACATTTTATTTGTCCATTTATTCATCCAATGATTATTTTAACTATACTCCAACGGCTTTAGCAAATATGCGATGACAGTGTTATCGTGGGCGAGCCTGGTGATGATCCCTCGATTTCGCGGACCACTCGAAACTTAAGTCGGAGAGAGGCGTTTGGAGATAGCGTGAAAAGCAGAGATAAATGCAATATTGATAACGCCATAGCTCCCCTTCTAACCCTATAAGGCACATGGTAGCAATGGCTCCCACAAGAATTCGGATAAAAACAATAGGAATACCAATCCAGACTAAATAGAGGGTCTAGGAAAGGAGGTGATAGGTTGGCTAGACGTGACACTTACTCGCATCAGGTAATATTTCCTGATTATAGGCAGGAAAACTAGGCCTGTGTGGCATGAGAGAAGGATGGATACAAGAAGTAAGCTTCATTGATTGGTGATTGTGATGTCCGTGACTAAAGCTCCACTCCGGTATTCTCCTGTACACCGATTGTCATGTTGTCAATTTGCAAACAACTAGAATCCGATCATATGATACCAGATATTAAAGATTAAGATGGTCAGATGACCTTTGGATTGGTCGCAGTCTCCTTCTGTGACCCTAGAGTTGGCCTGACCCCACCTTATAACTTGGTTGTGCTTTCAACTAGACTTAAAAGGACACATCCCGAACTGCATTCTGTGCGATCGTTGTCAAGAGTTCTTCCAGCATCAGACCGTTGGCCGCATACATTCCCAGGCGTTTGCAGACATAATCGCCATCGAAAGTAATCAGCACCAACCTTGACATCAAGCCACAAACCGTAAAAGTGGCAAGTAAAGTCAGTCTAATCTAGCAATTTTCTGTTTGATAGTTTGCAACATTTCTCATCCAACATCAGTGCATTCACATACCTCCCTCTCTCTACCCTCAGCAGCGAACCAAAGCAATGGTTCGATGCTGGAAGAAGGCACAGGAGAGATGAAAGAAAAATCGCTATGGCATGGGGTATTTGGAGTAGCTCTGTAGACTGAACTAAATTGCGAAAAAAGGTAGAGCCAGCGCCATGAAAGCACAAGCTCAAGGCCCCAGTTTAGCAATCAATGCTGCTAGCCTTAAAGATATTACCACTATTGTGTACTCTTTTATATTACTATTATTATTATATATTAGATGTAAGACTGCCAAATGTGAATAAAATGTAGATAAGGTTAGATAAAGTTAAACCAAGTGCGCCTCTAGCCAAGATGAATGTTTCAGTGACGACGTTGTTGCTATGAGTTGGTTCACTCCTCGGTTGGCCACAACTGTTGGTCAGCGTTGGTTCTGGTCTAATCGGCAACCACAATACGATTTTAAACTGGGTTACGAGAGTTATCATTACACCACTGGTGCCACTGGGTCGCAGATGTGGTCCAGTGATGCAATGGTCAGAGAAATGCCAGATTTTTCCCATAGCACATCTATACGGGGATCGTCAATGAAGCAAATATGTATTTGCTGTTACAATCGGTCAAGTTACTTATCTTTGAAGTGAGTAGGTTTTGATATTATTAGTGGATCTTGAATAATAGCTTTAGTCACTCAAGGTTGAGCCTATTCATGTATTTGTGGAAATTTTCACTATGAGCCATCACATTACCTTGAGCTACCTGGGAAGGCTAAAGTTATTATTCAAGATCTACTGATAGTATTTAAACAAACTTACTACGAGACGTAAAAGGTGAACCGTTTACTGTGTGGTTGTACGGATCCTTATCACTAAATCACTCAAGGGGAAGGCTTGACTTAAAAAAATATTTAGACTTTCATTCCGTAAGAAAGTACATGATAAAGAGCTTCGAAGTTCGATCTCACCAGTCAATGAAGTCAATCCACGAATCTCTTCATCCTACACTTACACACAAAATGAAAGTCTCTCCAACAATGTTATCTCAATGAGATGTGTTCACCCTATTTCGTCTAAAGTGATGAAGGACTGGTAGTAGACTTTTTCCACAATGATATGAGTTGAGCTGACGTTCTCCATTGAATTTCACATAACCTTGCTTTCCCAAAAGTTGTTCTCATCCTGGGTGGACTGCAGTTTCGACC